AAAATAGTGCAGGAGCTCCTATGTGGTTTCCCCACCTTCGGCCTCTCTTCCTCCTGCCCACTTTATTCGTTCTGATCACAGCTCTGGTCCTGTCTCTCATCGGTTCAAAGACTTTGGATCTGCACTGGCTGTGGTGGTCTTGGTGTAAAGTGGTTGGCCTGTCACTCTGCTTCAGGTCACTCTGCCTGTGTTGTGCCTGTGCTGGCCTCTGTGCCTTTTGTCAGACAAATTGCACCTGGAATTGCCTGCCCTCTCTGCTCCCTGCCTCATCTTCATGTATATAAATCCCGCAACTTCTTTATACATGGTGCCTTCTCCAAAAAGCTTTATTTTCTCCTTCTAGAATTTACTTCTCCCTCTCCCAATTCACTACATTTTAAAAATCTGTACTTCACTCTCTCCATTTGATTGTAATTGTGTCTGTTACCTCTCAGTGTACCCCAGTTAACTGTTGGTTCCCCAAGCCCTCGTCTCTGGGCCCTCAGAGCCTGGCACGGTGCCTCAGTAAATATTGATGAAGTAAGGGAATGGCCACCAGCCTCACTCCACCCCCTCCCTCTCTGACCACCTGACACCCCCCACACACACATACTTCAGGGCTAATGGCCAGGTACCTGCCCTCAGGGCGCAGGGAGGGATGGAGGTAAAGTCTATGGCCATACCTTCCCACTGTGGGCTCCAGCTCTCTCCACTCCAGTGCTGTGTGACCTGCAAGCCCGGCCCTAGTCCATCTTCTCTTCCTGTTGCCTTTGAACTGCAGCTGCCATTTGCCACTTCTGCCCTCATCTCAGCTAACGAATGAGTCAAGGCAGCAGGGTAACCGCGGTGTGGCCTCGCTCTGAAATGCGCCTGAGTATTGCTTCAGCCCTTTGTGTGTAAAAATGAACTTACTCCTGTCCCTCTGTCTCCTTTCCTTAATGGCTCTCTGTGAAAAATGGGATTGAGAGGATCCGCTTTACTTCATATTTGTTACTAACAGTAACAGTTTTTTTTAATGTAAATTTTTGTTTCATATGAAGAGAAAGGTTACTTTTTTCTGTTCTACTCGGGCCAGAGAGCAGATGGATCCCTGGGGAGTAAGGAAGAAAAGAAGGATCCTGAACAGGGATCTGGAGGAAGATTCTTGCTTCCCTGAGGCNTGAGAATTTTTGTTTCATAGATTGAGTATAGTGACGATGCCCTAGAAAAAGAACCCTTATTTTCATAATATTTTTATTCATTCCTAATACCTTGCATTATCTCTATTGTATGTAACGTAAAGTTTATTCTTTCAAGTGCTGGACACCATTTACTGTACACCCAGGTAGCAGTGGAATTGGGAGTGCAGAAGTATGCAATTCATCCATGAATGTGAAGTAGTGAGCAGAAGCCAGTAGATGTAGCAAGAGCGGAGGTTCAGAATTCTAGAGTTGGATGGCAAAAGCATCCCAGGCACATATGAGGGTGAAGTATGAATAATTTGCAAGTGGGAATTGAGGAGGATGCAGAGCCTGCCTCTGGGACCAGAGGAATCTGCAGCTCAAGATCAATGAGGCTCAAGCCTCCACTTGAGCAGTGTTCAGGGGAATACGTGTCCTAGAAAAGCCTAGAACTTGGAGGGAAGGTTCTGTTGAAAAGTGGAGGTGACAGTATCTCTCACTCCTGTCCCTCTTCCCCATTCTCGGTGCTACCTTTTTGCTTCTGACCCTCATTTCTGCTCACCCAAAATAGTGCAGGAGCTCCTATGTGGTTTCCCCACCTTCGGCCTCTCTTCCTCCTGCCCACGTTATTCATTCTGATCACAGCTCTGGTCCTGTCTCTCATCGGTTCAAAGACTTTGGATCTGCACTGGCTGTGGTGGTCTTGGTGTAAAGTGGTTGGTCTGTCACTCTGCTTCAGGTCACTCTGCCTGTGTTGTGCCTGTGCTGGCCTCTGTGCCTTTT